ACTAATTTCCATTTTAATGAAACTTAGTACAAAGATGCTCTAGGACAATGTACAAACTAATTAGTTGGGGTAAAACTCTGTTCATATTATTTCCCTAATTAGCATAATAATTCATAATTTTTTGGTTCTATTCACATTTCAATTAAACTTGGTACATAGAGTTTTTGTTACATTGCGCAGACCTCATTAGTTTTACAATCAAATCTGTTCATGTTAATTTTCTGATTTGCATAATTAGTTTTCAGCTAAGTAATTTCAAATTATATTTAATGTGTCTCCAATACTCTCAGCACATGGGAGTTCTTTCTAAGCTTTCTTTGATTTAATGTGTAATAATTATTATTCTGATTCTAGCGCTCATTATAAGAATTCTGTATACAAGGATGCTGATTCTGATACATTACCACCTAGACGGGGTGAAATAGTATGTGCACAGTTAACTGCTGATAACAAATGGTACAGAGCTTTAATAACTGATGTACTGGTGGAAAAAGAGAAAGTTAAGGTAATCATAACCTAGGTTTATAGTTGTATTGTTGGCAAAACTTAATTGAAAACCCTTTTAATTATGAGTAACTTAACCAAAAATTAAATCTGAAAGCGTTCTCAAGTGAAACCTGACACTGTTAATTGACTAGGTTATTTGTCTTCTTTGCAATAAATCTAGTCATGCATCTTTGAATGAATTCTGCTTAGGGAGCATGCTAAACAAAATTAACCTAGGAAGTATGTAAAAAATTGCTGTGGATCAAATATTAATAGTGTATTACTGTAGAATACTTTATTTTTGCTTGGAATTTATTTTCGCTGAAGGGATGATTCTGTGAAAATAAAATCCAGCGAATATACTTTTTTTCCTATATTTCACATTAAACTCATCAAAAATCAGTGAAAATAAATTCCATACAAAACACCCAAAAAGCCTTTTCAGCGAAAATTAATTCCAGCGAAAATAAAGTATTCCACAGTATATTGATCATTGAACAGAGAATCTTGTGTGTGATTTGGTGGCTTGATGACACCCTAAGATGCTGAAAAATTCAATCGCAACCAAAGCCTCATAACTGCTTGGGTTA